ATTCGCTTCTCCTCTACCCTCTACACTCTACCCTTTCCCAGAGGGTGAAGCTGACCTGCGACCCAAGCGCCACTTCTTTCACAACTACTACATGCAGAACAGTGGATAGATTCTTAACTGCCGACACGCGCCGCTAACTTTCTCGCTTCCGGTTCAAACATCCCAAATTCTCTTACATCGGCATAGCTTCTAAAATATACCGACTGTTTAAAAAAATCAAGCGATACTTTTTCACTCAATTACGAATGCTAAAAATGTATGGGACGCATTATTTAAACTGCGATTAATACGTGAACTACTACATTTTCACGACTAAACAATTTATTTTCTATGAACACCGATTAATTTGTATAAACGAGATATTTACTAATTCGAGAAATAATCTTCATATACATCCCGCAAATAAAACGACTATGATACATAATTTACTACATGTATATTCTTTTAATGCTCCGTCATAAAGATGCAAATAGTTCAAGGATCAGAGAGACTGCACACAAGTATCCAACCGGTCATTCACAAATAAATCTTCTAACACCAACCAATGTTTCAACGCGATTTATTATACCTCTCTCTTTTGCTTCATCCTCCTATTAATATCCTATTATAAATCTCGATTAAAAGTGAAGTTATCCTAAAAATTCATCTTTGAAGGAGTATGATATGATGCGGTTTATGTGATTTACGACCGCGTGGCTATGCGTTGGAATCTTTTGGCGTAGTTTGAACTGGTACGGCGAAAGGTATGAAAGGGAAACGACAGAAAAATCGACCCGCGCATGAACGTCAAATGGCATACAGAAGTCGCGATCGATGGCAAATTGCGTACAGAGTACCCAGGTGCATCAAGGATTTATGGATGTGTTTAACACGCGAGACTACGTTAGATCTTTCCTTCCAAATATTGCAGAGGATTAGAAAACCATAATTCTCTGGATGGTTAAACACGTGAGTTATTTATCGAAGGGATGGAACGCCACATGTATAAGCTTGAACAACGGACCTTCGTTCGCCCTCAATTGCCGAGCGTAATTAACTTGCATAGGATAAAATTAAGCTGCCTCGCCCAACCTCTCGTTACCGCGGCAAAAACATTTGCTCGACAGTTTCCAAATGTTAGGCGAAATCCCACCGCCCGCTCGGGCTAATGAAATTCGAATAAACGCCGCGAAGCTTTCCCTAAGCGCGTGCGGAACTCTTGATACCAAGGGGCCTTATTTCCTTTTGAATCCTACAAACACCGGACCGCTGCGCTGTCAGAACTATTCCCCAGAAGCTGCTCGGTGCTTAACAGAAATTTCGTACAAGTTTATTTTGTACTGCGCTCACAAAGATTATTATAGTGCACGAATAAGACAGATGTTCTAGGGATAAGTAGTCCATGTTTCTAAAGTCGCTTTTTAATTGTGAGGAGAAAGTATAATTGTTGTGAGTATAATGAGCAACGATATGTGTAAAATAATGGTGATAGAAAACGAATGTTGAAAATGGTTCCGTGAAAGAGAGGTAAAAGTTACCGTTGCCGTGCTGAAAGACGAGGCTTTCTTCCGTCTCTCACGATGGGTATTTCACTCTCGCCGATCGATGTTCCTCGACTGTTTTTCGGGTACTCGTGTTAAGGCGGAAAATACGAGTTGTTTCAGGGAGAAAAACAAACAGTGCTATAAAAGGATCAATTTGATGAACGTGAGGAGAGAAAGCGGAACGATAGATTGACATTTACTCTGCTGTCTCTTAAAATGTCTTAAATATCGTTTAATTCTATTCACTCGGACGAACATTTAGAAAGAACTTCCAACTATATTCTATTGCAATCATTTTGATATTGTAGGATCTTTACTACACTTAGTTTATTCACAATAAATGGATTAAACAGATGTTGGTTAAACAGGAAACGATGGTTGTTTAACGTGAACTAATCACAATGACGTACTATAATTAAGATAACTAAATAGTTGATTTGCAACTTTCGTCAATACGATTCCAACGTTCTCTCTCACGCGGACCACAATCTCTCGACGACGCAATTCGCACTCCCTGATTTCTCGATTCACACCCTCTGACTTTTCAACTAATACTGACTGTTAATTCGTCTTTGTCCCTTAACATCCCTTTGTCTCCTGTCTTAGCCCCACCACGCACGTGTTCTGCAACCGCTCGTGGCCAGGGTCACGCAAGCCTTTTCTGCGAAACTATTCGATTGAATGTCGGCACTTCGGCTTTCTCGCAACATTGTTTATAGTTCGCCCGATATCTCTTAGACCTTTCGTCCACGATACTACAATATTTTATGACAAGATATTTGTTGTATCAGTAGGAAAGTATGAAATACTTCCGTAATCTTTATAGAACGCCAACATCATCTCAAATATTTTGCTCATTATTTTTCATTATACTTCCATTCTGATATTTCGCCAAGATAACACTTTTCTTTCAAAAACTGAGAATTAATCATCTCGTTGCTGGTTATAGCAAAGCAACCCCTTCACAAGCCAGAAGAAATCACCTTTTACAATCTCGAAGAAAGGAGAGGCTGTGCAAACTTCCGCCCGGTCGAGCGCTAAATAATTGTCCTAATTCCCCTTAAAGTCCGCGCAAGCCGCATTTTGGCAAACGCTGGTTTCACGACCAGTTCACAACCGGAGAATAAATTACTACGGCGGCATAATGGTTCTGACTAATTTACGGAGCTAGAAATTAAAGTTTTTTCATAGATCTTCGCCGATGCCCATAATAACTCGGCGTCCATGCACCCTCTTCTTCTTTCCTCTATATACTCATCTCTCATTGCTTCTTCTTCCCCTGCGCTAGCGTAAGTCTGTCGCTGGTGAAGTTGATACACGCGAAACCCCTCTGGACTAAATCCGATTCACCGACCGCTGAAGAAACTTGAGGCTTGAAACTTTAACCGGAATCAAGAGGAATACGAGTCCTCACCAGAGAAAGAGTGGAGGAACTAATTGCACTTTTGACTACTCCGAGAAACTGCCCCGTTAAATATTGCCACCGATGGAATATTTCATTAAATGCGGCTACGCGAAACTTTCTGCGCAACTGTGGTTTCAGACGGGGGGAAGCGTTTTCGAGATCTTCTGGATATTTGGTATACCAAAATTTCCCTCAATACTCGTTGATTGGGAAAAGCTTAGTAGGGAAAGGAGTAGTGTTATCTTTCCTGCCTTCGTTTTCTATCGTTCACCTTTTTGCCTTTCTTTTTTTCGTCTTTTTTGAAAAACTTTCGCAAAACTATTTCTTCCGAATTCGCACATGTATTTCTCAATTCAAAGTAATTCAATCCTATATTAAAAGAAAGTCACGATTGTCAAAGTGAGATTTCAAAAGCTGAAAATGGAAAAATTACAAACATGATGTTTGACCATTGTGCCCTAGAATCTATACTTTCCGCCAATATTATACGTTTAATAAGTATTTTTCTGTAAGTTTCCAAATAATTTTTCGCTTTCCCTGAAAAGCTTGTGTAAGTTTAATCCCTTGAAATACTTGTTGCAAGTATAGTCTTTTATGTATCATTGAAAATGTCTCTCATTGCTTAAGAAAGCTTTAAAATAATATTCCAATTACTCGAGAAAACAAACTCGATACCGAAATTTCTTAACGATTCGATAATATGACAAACCCTCATAAAACTTGTTAATGTTAAATAAGTTCTGTTCCAAATGTATCCACAATGTTACGGTCATCCTTGGAAACTGCATTTATCAAAGATTCAATTGCAAACGCTAACGAAAGCCGATATTCGGTTAATGTTCAGCTGACCTTAACCTGCGCAAAGTGCAACGTTGTTGTATATGGAAAGGATTGAGTCCACCGCCAGAGGTTCCTGGGAATATATAATGTGTCCAAACCAATCCGGCCTCTGGTAGTCGGACCGATTCGATAAGCCCTTAATCCATTGGCAATTAGTCCACACAGTGGCCAAGGCAACCCCTTCACCCCTAAAGCTGCGTCTACCCCGGGGTAAACAATCACTGTCTCTATCTGCCTCGTGGTGTGTTGCCCTCTCGTGCCCGTCGCTGGCTAATTCAACAGTCTCTGTGACTATATAATTAGCCAGTGGATTGTGTATGTTTATGCACAGAATACGGTTGCTATTCACGCACGGGTATTTACGATTCAGTGATTTGGACAATAACGAAAGATCGTATGGATTAGCCTGTTTAATTTCTGGCTCTTGCTTACGTCGGTTTGTCTACCCTTCGTTTCGATAAATTGATAATTGTTTTTGGCCACTATACGGAGGGCTGAAAATCATAGTGTTGTGAGTCAAAATTTTGAGAAGTCGAATTTAGTCATCGGTTTCAATAAAAGTATGAAAAGTATAACGTTTCAATTTCATAAATCTCGAGGAGGATCTAAAAGGATATAAGGATTCTCGATGATAAATGTGATAGATTTTATAAAAACTATCAGCCGATTGATTTACGCCAGTATAGTTTTCAGAAAGTCATGTTTGCAAAAAATAGATATATGTTATACCTGTCATATTAATAACCACGAACAATATAATCCGGCGTTTTCACTTATATATAAATATAAATTTGGCTCGTGTTTTACTCCACTCGAATACTATGAAGTATTATCATTCGTTAAAGAAAATCTTGGGTGCGACATTCCTCTAGATTTATATTCTTTGCGTCGCATTCTTTCACTAACATATACACAGCAAAGTAACTGGCGCACCCGAGCAAACTAACAAAGCGGGGGAAAAGATAGAAAAAGAGGAGAAAGTAAAATGAAAGAACATCGCGTGACGTTCGGGTGATTCGCTTTAAAAAGAAGTATACGTGACGTTCTGGTTCCTTATTTTTCAAAGCAAACGGAAGAGTTTCCACGCGGAGACAGAGATACAAAGACTGTCGCGCAGAAAGAAACGCTTCGAGAATAACGGAGAAGAAGAGGAAAGAGATTTGAAACGAGAGGGCATAGCTACTTCGTACTTTCGTCGTAAAGAAAGGAAAGCGTACTTCGAAAGAACTCACCGTGATACGTCCTCCTGAGAAACAGCTCGTGGCGTGGCCGCACCGTGAAGAGCGAGAGAAGACGCGTGACGTGATTCTTGCGAATACGGCAGCGTCGAGTTGTTCTCCAGCGCCGACACAGAACCATTTTGTTTTCCTGTTAATAACGGGAACGAACGTAAACTACCGAGGCGCGGGTAATTTAGAAATTGGCTTCCTCTTAACCCATATATTTATATCATCCTTCTAAAAGGATAATTGCAAAATTTGCAAGGTACTCGGTTTTATTTTGTGATTTCTATAATACTAGCCTACATTCTTTAAAACGAATAGTCATCTTGTTTAATCGTGTTAGGAAATTAAAAAATTTTGATCAATATACAGAAGTATGGCTACAAGTATCTACACACCATTGTATATTTGCTACAGCATATACATACTGATTAATTAAACCTAAGTATACTACATTTCGTATCATTTAGTAGTACATACTTTCATATGAGTAAAACAAATTTTATACTACGAAAACATGAAACGTGAGGTCTAATAAAGAAAATACTTGGTTGGAAAATAAGGGTACGTGCATTTGCACGTGGAAAGAGTATTTACTCTTTATAGCCATGGTATTCAATTTAACCTTCAACTAAAGGAATTTTTTTCTAAAAAATATTAAATAGAGGTTTTTAGCATATCTGAGTTAATAAAGAAAGCCTAATTTCTCGAAATGTTTATCAAGCGAACAACGATTAAATGAAATTCTACTTCGTTTCGTTGCATTTCGGGATAATTTCGCAAGAGGTCAGTGCCAGAAATTCCTTAGAATTGTTAATTTACTAGAATTATTAATAGAGATAGTACAATTACTTTCTAATTGAAACGTAAATGAAATAAAGAAAAATATCGCTGTAATTCGGCACTTTCTGAACGTATTCCTGCTACATTACAGGCTCTCTGTGGAACGGGAAGAGTTTACGTGCTCGACTTTATGAGTACTATGAATAAGTTATACGAGATCGTTGGCACGACAAGATAGCTTGGAATTTGTGACAAAGTCCTGGGATCAAAAATTCACTTGGATATGGCCACGGGAGGAAAACTGGGAATTCCCGTGTTTATCATTCAATGTGACACCCCTGAGACCTGAAGGAATTATGGGAGGAACGTTACTGCATAAAAATCGATCGACATGCAAGGTATTTCATATGAGTAATCGCTAATTAATAAAGCAAAGGTTGAGGAATTTGTATAGCGCCATAAAATTCAACAGAAATAGTCGTGAGCATTTTATGTTGGCTTGAGAAATAAATTTCTGAAATAATTTTAAGCTACGCGAAGAAAATTCAATTTCTTCGTTCATTATGTGTATTAATAACGAAGCTATTTTTATCTGATGAGAAAAATTCACTTTATTCGAGAATGCATTTTATATCCAATATTAATTTCATCTACAAGCAAAGAATTTTATATTTCGTACTTTACTATAAACTACCCTTATGTATCCTTGCACATTCTATGACACTGTATCTTCCGAACAACGATTTTATACTTCCATATTCGGTACTTTTAAAAATTATTTTACCGACACATTCAATATCCATCACTAATACAAAAACACGCGAGTAAAATACCTTTGTATCAAAATAATCAAAATTCTTACAACAAAAATTACATTTTCCAAACCAAAAATGTTCGAACATGGAACATCCACTGTAGCGTTTGATGCTCGACATTCACACTTTTCTAAATTCGTTCACCGCGACACTAGTGCTAAACGTCGGGAAGCATAAAACGCTCCCGCCCAACGTTCCGTTCCCATTTTTACTCCGCGGTAGAGGAAGGATTTCCTTGGCGTAGAACCGCGTCCGCTAGTGGCGAACAAAAGTAAGGCAGACATTTTTTCGCAGTACGTGAAATATTTATTGTTCCGGAAGGCAGCGTCATGAAAATTCGAGGAGAAAAGATCCCGAAAATGTCCCGTGAAACGAGGCACGGGGAGAAAGTCGCGGACACGGAATTTACGCGGCGAGTGAATAATATAATATGTGAATAGGATACGAGGCACGCTTACGTGGTTGCGGTGAGAGCGAATTGTCCGAGGCCATGGGGGGTGGTGGCGGGGGCACGATTCCGGTTTCCGGTTTCGCCACCAGAAGAACCACGCGATCCTGGATTGCCTTCAGTGTCGCCACCGCTTCCTCGTGCGTCACATTTTCGAGGTTCTTGTCGCCCTGCTAGAATCAAAGGAATCCCTCTTTTCTATCTTCCCTTTATACTGGTCAAAGCATGATACCATAGCTTGATACCGTTGAAATGTAATTCAATTTCCCTGGATTTTGTTAAAGCACACTAGCTTTTTCTCTGGCTTCGGTTTCTGATGACCGAGCCAAGTTTCGTTATTAAGGTCAGTCAGCAATTTTATGTAACTTTTTAATTGTTTAAAATTAACGACAGAAAAATACAGTAGCTCGCGAAAGTATTCCAATACTCATAGAAACCATTTTTTTGATACGAAACAGTTAAGTTTCAACTGGAATGAGACACGACTAACGTAATTATATCAAACTTTGATACAACTCTGGCTATTAACTTTGTATATTAATTTTTTACTGAATATATAAATTTCAAATTTTAGCAATATAATTATGACAGTCGTGCGTCATCATACTGCTAATAAAATTTCAAAGTGTTTTATATGACATATACTTTTGTGGGTCACTGTAAGTATTTCAGAAATGTTCGCCTCGGTGGATGGAACATTGTGCGTTGTTTATCATCTGTTATTAATAAAATCTCTACAGAGAACCATGCGAATATGGAAAGCATAAATTTTCTATCATCCTTTTTTCTATCGCGTAAAATATTTCTCTTCATTCATCAACACCGTCCATTCATCTTAATTTGCTAAAGCATTTCCTGTTATCGTTCTATCGTTTCTATTCCTCACTTTCCGGGACGGAGCGACGCGTGAAAGCGATAAGAGCAACACCGACTAGGAAAATGCGAAAGATCGTTCTCTCATGGAGCAAGTATCGATCAAGATTTCGCGAGCCACGGTAATTGATTTCTCCCGTTCAATTTCCCCTGTCAATCATCGTCTTCTTACGAAACACTTTGAGATGGATTACCGAACAAATATTGCGAGAGAGTTACGCGTTACTTTCTTTGTTCGTCGCCTTTATTAACGCGAGTAACTACGTTCAAGCGTCAAAACGTCGCTGACGATATCGTGCTTCATTTACGGTATTAAAAAGAAATGGAAAAATCGCAACACATTTCCTAACCAGCTAAATATTCTTATCTGCAGATAAAAAAAAATACCTGATTTCTACAACACCTCGAGAAGCGAAAAAAAATAAAAAATAAAAAGAGGAAACTAACGTTTTTAGTTGATTGTAGAGGTTTTACGATGTCGCAATAAATTGGAAGATAAATTCATGTAGTTAAACAACGTGAATAAATCTTCCGAAGAAACATATTTCAGTTTATTATTTTTCTTCTTTTGTTACGCTTATCCCTTTCTTTTTTTTTCCTTTAATTTTCTGGTATTTATTCGACGAGATAGACACGGAGAGATCGTGGGTGAAAAACGATGCACGATCGGAAAAAAGTACGACACGGTACGGCACGGTGGTAATTATCCAGTGCTGGTTGATATGTTCACAAAAAAAATACGCCACGGTCCAAGTTCCGGGGACGTGTCATAAACAACTGACGAAGTTTCTGTAACGTTCGTTGCTCTAAAGTATATGCCGACACGCAATCATGCGCAAAGTTAAATTGACTTACGATCCATCCTGTCGGTCGCTGCTCCGAAAACTTTGGAATAAATCGTTCTTCGAAACGAGACAAAAGAGAGCAGGTCGATCTATACATGACAGAACCTGGCACCTTTTTTAACAGTTTATTGCAGCTGTAGCGACTGTGAAACGGGACGTTAAATCTGAGACAAAGATATTTCGAGAAGGTTTAACAGCCATAGTAATTGCAATTCGTGGAAACCTAAATACTTTAAGCGTAGAACGTTTAATACTAGAATTATCGAACAAACTTTTTTTCATATACTTTATACAAATTCCAGATTATAAAAAATGTATTGTTATAAGTTTGTACAATTTTTTTAGCCCATCAAGGTGCCTAATAATCTTAAAATTGCCCCACTAACGTTGCCTTCATACCTTAATAGAACTTTTCATTTACAACGCTTCTCCGTCAAGTCAAATTCTCGATTTCTTTTTCTTAACATTGTGGCTATGAAAGGGAATTCCAAGGATTCGCTTGATATTTCCTGTCGTCGTTATTTCTTTCACATAAATCCTACAATTTTATAAAATTAAAAGAAATTGGAGTATTTGTAACATCATGATAAATGTTAATAGATTAAAAAGTTATGATGATTTTGACCATTCTGGTATTACATTGACAATTCTAGTATTAAGATTTTGTCACGTTGCTAGTATTTGTTTTACGATGTTCATTGGTTGAAAATAGCATCAGTTGCGGCTGTGAATCAATGTAACGGTTTTAAACGTAGCTTTTTCAGCCGCGAGTTTCTCGGGGAGAAACGAAGGAAGAAAAGGGAGCTCGTCGATGCGAAAAATCGGAGGAAGCAGCGAAACGAACAGGTTCCCAGCGCCTGCAACCACGGCAACGAGTCGATGGAGCAGCTATCAATTACTCGTCGCCATCAAAAACCACTCTGATCTATTTTTCACGTAGCCCTCACACAGCCTCTCGTTTATGAATCGCGAACGAAACGAGGATTTGCCGAATTTCGATCAACTTCAAACGTTCTATTCAAGTAAAGCTTGAAACGCGACAAATTACGAATCATAGAGAATTTATTGGTTTTTATCGACTTTGAGAAATGTTTTTGGTGCCTGCTTTTTAACATTTAAGAAATCACCTTGGAGCAGAGATTTTATTATTTTCTTAGCGAAGACGAAGAGAGAGAATTAGGCGGATAAATTTAGTAGATAAATCGAGCTCTGACTGTGAGAAATTATGCGATTACGTTTTTTCGTTTCAGTGAAGAATATATTTCTTCTTTGTTCCCGGCAAAGCTATTTTACATGAAAGATTCTCTAATCAAGACCAGCTTTCTTTCTCAACATAGTTAAATAGGAAGAACTGTAATCGCCAATCAGATTAAAAGTCTAAATGGTATTTCAGCTATGCGAAGAACTACTCTCTAATCCTATGATATATCAAAAATTCTACGTATCTCTGTGTAATAAATACGTTAAAAGGAAGACATATGATGGATTTATATTTCGCTTTACAATTTACGATTATTAAGTCACTTAAGGAACGAGACTCGAGGATTCGAGAATAATTTTATTGTTATCTATTAAGAAATGATAGCGGCGTGGCAGAAAGAAATCAGAACTGAAGGAGTATAATTTTGCCTGAACTCACCAGGGCATTTCTGACGGCTACCAATTTGTCTCCAACGACAAGACGGCCCTCTACTTGCGCGGCGCCGCCCTCCATAATTTTCGTTACGTAGATTCCATTGTCACCAGGTATATGCTGATTGCCAATACCTCCAGCGATACTGAAACCGAGGCCCTTGCTACCCTTAATTAGCTCGATTTCGATCAGCTGCGTGTGCCTCCGTCGACGTACGTACTGAAAATTAATTGAAGCATCCGTTACATCATCTATGCATATAACATCAAACACATGCTCTTAAAAATACAAAATTACTTTACAACATTTTTTTACAGACTTTGTAACGATTCCTTGAGATTGGAATGAAAAGCAAGATCCCATTTTTCCAAATTCGATCAGATTAAATTAATTAAATCAAACAAAGTTTATGGGAGTGGTTCTTTATTCACAAAAAATTCGCTCACGTGAGAAGCGCAACAATGAATGGATCTAATTAAACTAACAATTTTTTGCTAACAACACCTACTATCGTTTAACCAGAACGTTTATAAATTGAATTAATCGTCCTTCTTTTTAAAATAACCGATTAAAGGTCAATACTTATCAGGAAATCGTAGACCAGTGAGTTACGGTGTACTGAGGCAAAGTTAAGATTCGTCGTTCGGAACGAGCGCCATTAAATTTTGAGAAATTAAATGGAGCGTTACATCGAGGACAATTAAGATTTCACTTTCACGGCAAGGACCGTGCTTCGTTTACCGCGGTGTACCGAAACGCTACATGACATAAATTTAATTAAATCGGCCCGGTAGGAAATGTTGTTAAAGTTTCACTAACGTTAAGCCTCCTCTTAAGGGTCCACGCTTCGAGGATATTGCATAGGGGGCTAGCAGTGAAATAATAATATCCAGCCCGTAAACGCTTTTATGCTTACCTCCGTACCTGTTCCCTAGCCACTTGGAAAAGGTTAATAACGCAGGTGAGCGAGTGTACAAACGAGAAGAAAAAAGAAGAAACGTGTCGTAAAGAGGACAAGAGGGAGAGAAACGTATCAAGATCGAAAGAACGAAGAACGCATTCGAAAATGCGTGTTTAAAAAAAGGAGGATAAAAGGATAAAAACAATATTTCCCAGAATGCAGCAGGATTTTAGATTAAATACCGGGTTACTGCATCGCGCGGAAATTTATTCGGCTCGCATTTCGCGCGCCACAGTAGCACGCTCAACTCGTCCATTCACATGCTAACGCGCTCAACGGTCCGCGAGTTTTTTTTAAATTTTTCGGTTCTTGGTTCGTGGTCGAAGCTTACGATGATGCGTTGTGAAATTAATTTATTATTTCCGACGTACAAAAAAGCCGACGTTTATTTTATTTCATTCCTGCGCTGGTTTCTAAATGATCGTTTGATCGTTAGAACCGGAATATCGCCCTTTCTTTTTCTTTTTATATTTTATTTTCGAGGTTCTAAAAGAAGAGATATCGCGAGAGCTAGGGAAACGCAAACGCCGAGCATTATTTCGCGGAGGGATGAGAGGGAATCTCGGTTTTCCGCAAGATATACAGCCGGCATTGTCGTCGACCGCGATTATCTCGCGTCGAGCTACCAGATAATAATTGGACGTCTAAAACGGATTCTTTCCAGCAGACGCGGCTTCATTGTTTGGAGAGATCTTTCAAATCTCGCGCCAATTATTGCTATTTCTTTCCTTTGTGTTCTTTAATCGGCGCCATTAACAATTTTGAAAACGATGCGTAGGATATGAAAATCGTTTGAATAATTTTGCGCCGTAGAGCCAGTCATAGTTGATCAATACATTGATCTACTCCATAAATTGAAAAGTACAGATAAGCGTGTAATTACGTAATGAAATTGAAAAATTAATAAAAAGTTGCGTTGAATCGATTTGTCTTCTAGAAGGCTCACATATTATTTAGGAATTATTTTTAAACAAGTATAATAAAAACTAGGTCAACATCTTATGGTAGATAAATTGTTTTACTTGTTATATACATGAAAAAACAATAAAATAAAAAATATAAACTTACTAGTTTAACGGTATTTCCTGCTCGTTTGAGCGCATCGACGGCTGCCGCGTGTTGTACGTCAACAACGGAAACGTCGTTCACCTGGAGTATCGTGTCGTTGACGCGTAGACGACCGTCTCCGGACGCGGCACCGCCCGGTATAAGTTTCGTGATGTAAATGGCAGTGTCGTTGCCGAAGTGTGGATTGTCTGTGCCCCCGGCAATGCTGAAGCCAAGTCCAGCACCACCCCTTTCGAGTACAATCTCCTCGTACTCCCAGTCATCGTCTCCGTTGACCTGTTATTAAATCGTATTCACGTTAGTAAAACTTCGAAATACATTGCAACTCATCATTTCATCACAATTCGATATATTCAGTTGTCCCAAAAATTTCTTTCATTTTATAATAGATGCACAACATTTTTTGTTTTGTATTATTTCATTGAATTATGTACGATCCATTTTGTTCTATTGGAACAAATCGAAAGAAACTTTTGGAACAACTGAATATATATTATTCTCTTTTACGTCTGTATACCTGCAATAAAATTCGATCTATTTCTGTAGTAAAGCTAAAAATCTTATATCACTACTAAAACTAAAAATTCCATCATAGGCAGTTTATTCGTTGAAAAACTACCGAAACAAAAACCATTATTATCGATACCTGTAGCGTTAAATTCAAATTAATATTTTTTATATTAAAGTGAAAAACAATTCTGTATCAAAAAGATTCTCGTGGAAATTTTCTCTTTTAGAATGTGCATCATTTACTATTGCAATTCAATTTTTTAATCAAGTAGTGAAATAATTTGGATCGCATTGGAGATATACAGATATGAAAAATAATCGAAATTAGAACGAGTGACAGGATGGTAACATTAACACTAGAACTACCGGCATTGGAGACGTAGCTCTCTCTACCAAAGTCACTCGAAATGACCAGTCTTTAAAAAATACGTAATAATAGAATATTTTTATATTTATTGATTTATTATTATCCTATACAAGGAACTCCATGTTCTGAGATCATAAAAACTATATAATAACAACTTTAATAATAACAATAAGTACAATAATGAAGAATATTCAATACCAAAACCTTTGGTAACAAGAATATTAAAATAAATTTCCATTGGTAGATATAATAAGTATAATATAATAATAAGCATAATAAGCGTAATAGAATAAATAAAATACAAATATAATTTAAATTATTAGGTACAAAATTTATCATTCATCACATTTCTTACAAACGTAAACTTTCTTCTGTGTGCATTTTTCGCAAATATATTTTTTACAAAGATTACAAATGGCGCTGGTCTTATTATTATTACAGTACCGCATCTGACACCATTTGCGAGAATAAGGTGAGTTCTTTGACGTACTTCGGATCTCAGATGCTCTATGTTCTATCCATGATTTTTCATTGTCAGCGGCAAGTTCATCTACTAATTGAAACATAAAATCTTTTCTGGATATCTGCTCACCTGTGGTTTTCTTATATAAAATTCAGGCAATTATGTCAGCTAAATCTAAAATATTAAAAAATACTTGAAGTGGCCATCTTCTTGATCCCGATTTCACGCTATATTTTTTTACCATTTGGTTTGCTATATCTACTCCAAATTTTGTTTTATTATAAAATTAGACCATTTCAGGTAGCTCCTTTTCGCTTTTTCCTAAATAAGGAAATCCATTTACAACATACTTTGTTTGAACATCAGATGCTAGCCAAAATTTAATTCCGAATTTGCCAAGTTTATTCGGTAAATATTGCGTAAACCTGCATTTGTCTTTGGTTGGGAAAAGTAGTTCGTCTATTGTAATGTTTGCACTAGGTTTATAGTATATATTTGACTGTTTTCAATAAACTTATCCCATACGGACGATATTAGTGCAAATTTGTTATTTTTCAAACGTTGATTTCTATCATCTTTTTTGTCGAATCGAATAAATGTCAATATTTCAACAAACTCATTCCGACTCATTGTGCTGGAAAAGAAGCTTGATCCCCATTTTGTATTCCACAAATATGAAAGTTTCAAATTTTTCGCTTCGTATGCTCCCCGTACAATATTCTAAGGAATGCTTTCAATTTTGTTTCTATAAGGATCCATTTTTTACCCAAAACTCGAGAGGCTTCTGATTCGGTGCAAGATATACGTTGCAACATATGGCTGTCGATCAGTAAGGAAAATGCGCTAATTACTTTATCTTTCATGATATTTTTTTGGATATCATGTGGGCTGGATGTGTCTTTGAATATATTGTGCAAGGGTAATCTCCCAGAAGCTGACCCTTCTTGAATTATTTCCCACTTGGTTCCGTTTACGGCAATTTCATTTGGACTAACTTGTACACTTTCAGTTTCACTTTCAGAACTTGAAAGCACCCGAGCACGTCTTTTGCGTACATTCAAGATGTTCTTTTACTCACTTTCTGAGGTCTCATTTTCTTTGTCACTAATGTCACTATTACTGTTATCACTACAAATTTCAATTTCTTTTCCCCCTGATTCAGAGAATTCACTATCTTCGATATCAGAGCATTCCATTGGTATCCTTTTCAGTTTTTGCAACAATTCGAATGCTTCCATTTTCAAGACTTGTAAAATATTGCTTTATAAAACGAGAAATCAAGTCTTATTCCAACGACTGTGCTCTACAGAATGACCGGTCAGTTTGACCGATACTGGTGTAAGTAGCCATGATACAAAATTACTTTCATTCTAAATGAATAAAACAAAATTAAAGTTTATTATATTATTCCTTTAGCTATCCCTGCAAAAGTCATTACATCATTGCGGAGAAAACATATAACATGAAGTAGGAATTTTAAGATAAAGTTGACAAACAAGTCATTTTGACCGGCGTGGTAGTTCTAGTGTTCAGACGCAGGAAGAATTCAGTGCAATACAAAGGAAAAGGTAGATTACATCGGCAATCCAGCACGGGTCAGTTCCTAATTACATGAGGGACTAAGCTTCCCGCAGAGCGAAGGAGTTAACTGGCTAATTGATTTTGAGGCCCGCAGAGGAGTAGATTAGGTCACGGATCTGGATCGATTGTGGTAGAGTTACGGTAGTTATCGCGAGAATGCTGATATTGTTCAACAATGTTATAATCCGTCACGCCTCTACGCTTATCACGGTACGAGATTAATAGAGGAATCCCTCACAATAGAGAAGCAAACGAACTTCGCTCCTTTCAACAAGCTTTCGTAGACGGATTTTAAAAATCTCCGTACTTCCTGCTTACAACAGTTTGAACGAATCACATTTCTCATTCAATCACATGGAAAACACGAATACAGCATTTTCCCGAAGGAAACAAAAACATCTTCAATCGCAATATTTCACAGAATTAACCAATATTTCGCATGAATCACTGTTCTCGATTTTGAAACGAAAAACTGCCAATTCCACGAATGAGAAGTCACATGTTTCAATACATCCAACAAAATGTTCAACCATTTTTCCCTACACACTAAGGTACTACGCTAAGGTTTAATTATTCCTAAGAGCCCATCGATGACTCAGCCTCAAACAAAAACAACCATTTACCACTCTATATATCTAACCTAATACGTACTCCATTCAAGGCAGAATAGGATCAACCTAACAGAGAAGCCTCGAGCACGACACGCATGCCGAAATGCATTCCGCGTACCAGTTGGGGTATCGCGATGATTCGCGTGCAATCACGAACTCTACGATAGATTTGATGCACCCGGTTGTATCAGCCCATATTGCCTGCGGAATCGTGAATTAATCGTCTCCGAATTACCATTCTATGAAGACCAGCCCCGGACAGATGGAACGCCGTAAGGGTCGTTACCGGAAATCCCTGTTACTCCCGGTAACAGAGCCCGATTTAGGTGGTACGTTGATGTTACGATGCAATTATGCTAGTGGACTGTCGCTCGACTAATCGACGATTAGCGACTGTGTCATAGTGAATGCCATTGTTAATTAATCTGACTGCGTGTGCGCTTAGAAGAAGATCAGTTCGCTGTCACAGACGATATTGGTCGTAATGTCCGTGTCGGGCGATAAGCGTGTGAAATATCATGATATAACGGTGAACTGTCTGACGTACGTGAAACAAGATGTGAGGCATAAGTGTGATGGATAAAAACAGTTTAAAATTGATGCTCGTGAGTAGAAGTATTAATAGCTTTTGAATTGGATATTTTATGCAACGTTGAAAATAGTCGACTGAGAAACCTATTGATTAGGGAAGACGAGTTAATTCGTCATTTTAGATCGTCAATTTTTTGGCTAAGATTTTTTAGAGCGGAGCTGTTATTGTTTCTTCGTCGAAAGTTTCTTTTGAACTAATTTGTGGATTGTAAAATTGTTGATATCGCTTTTCACAGCAACCCTCATACAACTTTTTCAAAATTTCAACTCACATATATCAGGAAGTTATAAGAATATTCTGATTATTCGTGATTTATAATGAGATTCTGATACCTTTGTCATAAATTTTCTTAACATTCAATATATGTGATGTACAGTACATTTCCCTTTCCTTTAAAGTGATTAATCGTTAATTGATGGTAGAACATTTAGTGTATAATACTGGTCTGTCAAGTTGTAACTTTGAAAACACAATATGTCATGTACAATCAAACATAAAACGTAAATTTACCATTTTATGGGGCCCGTTTACCATGGTAGTCGTCATCGTGTGTACTGAGCCACTGTTGTCAGCAACATTTTAAAACACCGACAGCAAAATAACGACGCCTAGGGGTAAGTACGATATTTTTAGTTCACATTCACCGAGTCCACTCGAACAACATACCAGATATCGATGTCCGCGTGTCACTACTTTTATCGCACTATCACATACCGAAACGCTTGAAAATCTCGTTCACTTTGACACTGAAACGCCTGCCACGAAGGTTCGTTCAATGCAGTTGCAACCCGTTTTTCGTTTCAGCTCGAGAGAAAATCTGCAACGCGGGAGCTCTTCCTGGCGCGATGAAAATAATGCATAAATCACGCGGATTATTTATGACGCGGCGCCACAGCAACGTATTATCAAGTAATAATCAGTATCGGCGCGTTGCGTAATACCGTGGAAAATTCACGTTGGGAGCAGAGATTAATACGCTGCTGACGTTTGCATAAATCCTTGCAGCTACTTTAAACGTGTCGTGATACCGCTACGGGAATATCTTTCGGTCCGAATATTCGCAAATTTTCCAAACTTGTGCCTCAAAATTCGAGAACGATGAAGTATAGTTCCCTAGTCTACGTCACGTTTCTCGGTATGTTTAAAATAGGAAAATTCCAAGAGCTTCACCTTATGATCACTAAATATATCTCAAACAACAGATGCGAACGTTGCATGAAGTTTAGCGACGCGACAAAGTTCATCGTAAAATAAACTCCACGTGAATTCGATCGTATTACACAATCAAACCGCTCGAAGACGAACTCGTATGTCTAAACTTTAGCGATTGAAACATGGACGAGACGGACTTCCTTGAAGGCTGGAAAACGCGAAACTGCGACAGTTCTGTCAGGACGAGCAAGAAGTAACGTTATTCGGTCCCGTTCTCGTTCCCGCGGAGCGTCACACGCTCGAAACTGGCGACCGTCTCGCCCGCGACTCGACTGTGCTCGCTCGCTCGCTCGCTCACGCAGGTTCGCGTTCGCGCCGCGCCAGTCATCGCTATTATAATATTAGACCAGTAGCCGGCTATTTCCAACCGACTGTGAAAATATACCAACGGCACGCGTGCTGCACGAAGAAGAGACGGCCACGGTGAAACAAACGTTTCGTGGTCAGTCACACGGCTCGCCAGCGAGCTATCGAGATTTATGGTTCCGTCGATCGATCGTGAAAACTCGTGCGAGCATTCGACGAGATACCGCGTGTCTGTTGATTTCCGTTTTCAATTTTTACGTAATTTTGTACTCCTGGTGTATGTTCTTTACGCGTCCGGCTTATTGGTTCCGGGTTTCTTTTCCAGAACAGACTGATTATTTTAAGAATAATGGAAAATACATAAAAATTACCTAGGAAAGTAGTTTCACGACAATTTAATTTGTTTAGTGAGTATCAGCTATGAGAATTAGGTATGATTCGAATTATAAATAGAAATAAGAGGATAATAGTGGAACAGAAATTATTCAATTCGCGCGGTATTTGGTTTGTATCCATTATAAATAAGAAATTAAGATGTTTATAGTAAACCATAGTAACCAGAGTAGGGATGTTTATGCAAATTCACATTTCTATGGATGAAACTCATATAAAGATTAGTTTCAGTCTCTAAGTATCATAAGCAGTATTTTGGATATCCCTGCACATTATATGTATTCTGTACATCTGTGTATATCTATGTTTTTATACGTTTAAATTTCCCATAAACGCATAATAGATATATGCATATCGCTACACACGAGGCACAAATGACATTCGAAGTCTGATAAGCAAAAGAATCGGATCTAATGCACGAACCCGACTCGTGGATGCGCATTTTAGCTTTAACATCGCGAGCCTAGCTCGCACAAAAAGAAAAACTCACGATAACATCAGAAAGAACCTTTATGAAATTTGGAATACATACATTTCTTAAAGATTATGATCTAAAAGCATTTTGTAGAATTTGTCTATTATACAATTGCACACGATTACTTTGTATCCTATCAATCTCCAGTGCGCAAGCAAATATTCTATTACCAGAATACGATACTCCGAAATGAATACACTCTGAATTCCTATAACAATAAGCAACTCGTTATGCATAATATAGATCATGTACTTCAAATATACAACGAGAGATCAAAATAATGACATTAAAGGTTCAATAAATAAGTTTCACAGATTGATGGATTACCAATTGGTGGTTCAATGGCTCGATTCTGCCAAGCAACGGATTAATTGAGGCACGCCGGTAATTCCGTTAGTAGAATTTGCGGAAGTTCGTCAGGGAGGGTATCCACGTGCGTTACGTGGATACGACGTTCAAAACCGACACGGTGGTCCCGGAATCTTGGCTCGAGAAACTCCAACGGTCCGAGTCCGTGCCGTTCGTATTTCGAATTAACATCGCGACTCCGAACCCACGGCTATATTCGTTGGCCTTTGTTGGAACGCACGACTCGGTGGAACATGGGTAAAGATAGCCACATTTCGTGGCAAATACTCGTGGTTTCGGGTCACGATGACCTTGAAAGTAATTATCGACCATTGCACGAATCGGTACAAACGAATGTCTCCTCGAGTCTGCATTTACTGAAATTTTCTCAACGTATTAATTTCGTATTTTTATTTGATTAGTGGAATTTACGCAACTGATATTTTATTTACTTACGCTGGGCGTAGCTGCCGTTAAAAAATTGTTATCCTTCGCTGAACAGTCGAGAAGTTTAAAAAGAGTTGAATCGTAACTTTTAAATGTTGTGCGAGTTAAAAAGGATTCGAAGCAAACTCCGAATGCGATTTTAAGGTATTCTTATCGTATTTCGTAGTAAGAAATGTAATGTGTACTATCGCTATAGATAAAATCTTATTTCTATGTAGAATGTAGATAAATCATAATGATTATCGAGATTTCCGCAATACCAACGTAAATTGTAACTAGTTAAACCTTCCAATTCAACGTTTAATTAACTTGTAGATATCATTCTGCCGCAACTGCCATTTTGGAGAACAATACAATTTTCAGGAAACTACGCAGAATTCCTGTCAGAGATCACATCGTTTACTGGTCTCTGAAAAGTTTATAGACAGCGTGATTTCTACGACGTGGTTCAACGCAGTCAACGTGCTTTAACGACGATTGAAATTACCGAGTGTATCCGACGGGAATATCTCTGGATCTCGCTCTCGACGTCATAAATAGCAGATTCATCTAAAAAGGAGTTGCAAGCTGGCAAACGCGTTATTAAGGACGAGTTGACGCTTTAAAACCATCGAGCTATTCAGCCGCCACGCTGCATGCAAACTCTGGAATTATGTAGCATCCCAACATATTCGAGTAATAGATAAATTTATGCGTTTTAAAAACACAGTAAGAATGATTGAGAGAATTTATTAAACTATTTGTATCCGCGATTGTATGATTAACTGGCTTAGGAGAATGAATCGATCAGCACACAGCCGAACGGTCCGATCATCAATGAATTTTTTACTAACGCTTTGTATATTAAGAAACTATCTATTTAGGTAACTATTCGCATCTATGCGTAGTTTACTTTCTGGCAGACCAGGAAACAAATTCAACTAACACTAATTAGAAAAAAAGTGAAAAGAATAAGACAAATCTAAAAAGTATTCTGAAAGTGATACTGCGTGTGCCGGACTATTTCGTGGTGTTATATATTTTAGAAAAATGTCAAACCTCTCTTCAAGGTTCCTTTCATCAATACTGCACGCCATAACCGTGATTCCAACTCCATTATAGGAGATAATATAAACATAAAAAGACGTCATTAAAAATGAAAAATTATGTAAATAGAGTAATCATTATAAGAATCTTTTTCTAACGAGTAACGAAGAATACAATAATTTTCGAACAATAAGACGGTTTCTTCATTATTATAATATCACGACGAAACGCAGAACTTCCTGACACTAGGCGGAATATTAATTTCACGCGTCAGAATAAATTCAGGCGACGAGAAATTTGCTTTTAAACTTAATACTTCCTCCTCGCTGGCTCGGCCAAGGCGAACATATATATTACGTCCTAAAGTAACATAAGTAACGCAAGTGCGCGCACGTAAGGTGCGTGCAAAAGGCGAGAAACCGAGTCGCGTTAAGCGGAATTAACGCGAGAGGTAACTCGAGCTGCTCGCGGTACACACAGCCACCTTTTGTCTTACGAAATTAAAATGAAAAGACTCGTTTCTTCTTATGCTCGAGGAAATAGCGCAACCCTGCACTGTTCGCCCAGCGCACGTCAAAGAGCCAGAAATATTTCATATCCGCAAGCAATAGCGAAAAGTAGCCGACATGCCTCTGTCTTCCTCCCACGCACCAAATTTCATACGTTCCTCTTGCTACTTTTATTTATTTTGTTACTTTAATTAAAATGTGCATGACGAAATGTAATTCGTGTACGAAGCTTCGTTCTCTGCGAGATATTTTTGCGAAATATGTTGAAAAGTCTGTTTAAATCAACGTCTCATATTTATATCCAACGCATGATTTTCCCTGATCAAGACGAATTAATTTTTTTATCCAAGCATCCAAATTACAAATCTACAGATTTTCATCTGAAGTAACTGAAACATTGAAGATTCACCCTATATGTAATATCGAAATTCATCAAACTAATGACGAATTCAATTCTGACTAGAATCTGCTTCAATTTTTATAGGGACTCTTTGAACAACCTAATACCTCATATCAAAAATAAACATTTATCGTCAAATTTAACTACTCTATCAGCTTCCTTCATATGTCGTTCGTTTTAAGAGAAAGGATTTACGGAGAAAGTGGCCTTGAGCCAACTGATTCTATATGTAGAATCACAGAGAATCATAACATTGAATGAACGTCGTGCGTTGCAACGTGCAAATGGAACGCATATACATATCTGCGGTCACGTGCAGGATGACACGATATTCGTTGCATCAATATTAAACATCTGCTGAGCATAGATTTGTAGCACGCATCTCCATGAAGCAATCGGGTATCGCCCCTGCACTTGACACTCGACAAGAGCCTCGAGATCAAGTAGTTCAAGTGGTTTTGCCCTGTGAATCGTATTCCCCGAATGATCATCCTCGACGTAGTATGGCTTACGTCTAGAATCATCTGCGATATTAATACATTAATATAAAAACCATTCAAATTACATCAAACTGGCTTCTCGTGAACCCTAATTACGACAAAATACTTAGCCCTTCCGAAACGATCTTCCTGGTGAATAGGGTTTATGTAACAGATTTGTTATTCTTCGAATTGTATAATTCTGTGCGTGCAACGAGGATTCTCTTAACTTTGGAGTACATTTTCCAAGAAAAGGGAGCGTTTCTTGATTCTCGTAATTATGACAGGTGGCTCGGTCTACGTTATTCAATGTTCCGTTGCAGCTGGGGCTCATAGACGACCGGAAGCAATATGCAGAGCGTGTCGCTGTTTCAATACCCTATCCGTTCGTACACGTACCGCGCCTGTGATTAAAAATTGCATTATCCTTAACCATATTGAAAAATGTTCAGTTCCACTTTGCATGTATATCTACGTTGAATAAATAAATTCAGAAAACAAATTGTAATATTATTCAATTTTTCTACCCTTTATATAATAGACATAGATCTATATAAGCATACACAATTTCATATTCGTGGAATTCTACAATTTGCGATTATCGTGTGAATTCGAAGTCACTAATGATCGCGGTACTCGTGACAGCACCAAAATTAGACAGATTCACGTGGTCACCAATCCGAAATGGGGCACGACCGAGAAACTTCATTTTGGTAGAGCGATTTCGGTCCATTAATAGCGCGCGGTCCGGTGAAAGGTCGCGCACGAAAATGTGCATGAACGTCCGGCAACGTACCAGGGAGTCGACAGCCGTACCCCGAGCGACGATCTTTCTCGCGCCTAGAAGTCGAAAAGTTTGCCGAGTTTTGCCCACGGGTACAGCTTCTGACGGACAGCCAAGGTGAGAGGCGAGGCAAACGAGATCCAAGTGCAATCCACGAAACGCGAAACTACACCCGCCTGCCGGTGACTGCTCTAACAGGCGCGGACGCATTAGCAAAATTGGAGTAACTCCAACAACAAGGCGTCGGATCGGCACTGGATTTCACGTTCAGTTTCGTTCTTCTCTCTCCTCTCTCTTAATCTTTGCTTATTCTTTTGTTCTTTCTCTTCCCTGCATCTCAGCTTCGGCTATCCAAAGGCATCTATCTCTGTGGCACCATGGACTAATTGCAACATTATACCTAGGAAAAATCGTTGTTTCGCGCGTCTACGAGCGCCGTTCTTCCGTTTCTCTATGCTTTTAATGGAGCCACCGAAGGCTTTTAACAGTCGACGCTAAAGTTTCACAGAGAAGTCGAAGTCGCGAGGATATAAAATAGTCGCGGCGAAATAAAAGATCGCTCCTTGTTGAGGAACTTCCGCGTTAAATGCCAAGTTTTCGCAGGGTTTAATAGTCGTGCGATATCGGATGAATATAAATGAAGCGTGGATTGAAAGAGGAAAGTGAAGCATATTCTCGGGTGACGCCTATTTAAACATCAGAAATAATTAAAATTAGAAGGGAATATCGAATCGTCGCGTCGGTATCGTTATTACCGACTAAAGTTGGCACGTTGATATTGCAATCAGTCTGATGCGTCTCGGACACCGTGATGGAACTTGCAAAAAGTTTACACGCGGCTTGGCAACCGGCAAACAGCAAACGTTCGTCTCTGGACACGTCGGAACAAAACGATGACCTGGCAAAGCCGCATTAATATCCTAATGGCTATTCCGATGGATCTTTCGGATAATCAACGAGAAATTTTTTCCCCTGTAAACCGAATTCCGCCTATATTTTGTCTCACAGACGAAATTCACGAATGCACGGCCGAAAAAACGAGGCGAATTACGCGACGGTCTTGCGGAAACCAGCGCGATAAACATTCATGAACGAGAGAAAATTGTTAAAATTTTGAACTAACGACGTACAGGGTAATTCTCCCTGCGAGATGTAACATTGTGTAAAAAAGTTTAATAAATTCCTTTGTGAGAAAGCACATTTGGCGGTTCTTGACGAGTAATTAAAAAATTTCGGGCATGCGGCGAGGAATCGAAAGAATTATTTTAAAGCTAGAAAAAGCAATATGTTATGTCCTGCTCTGGATCGATATTTGCTTTAGATAAGGTTTTCTAGCGTGGTAAAACGCAATTAAATTCTCAAAAAAGGTTTTCAATATTCTTCTGTTATACAATACGATGTAACGCGTATAATTAAGTTTACTTCGTTCTCTTTATACCTGTACTTACCTCTCTTTTTCTTCTCGGAAAGAAGTTAAATTTTGCGTTTAATTAGAAATATGTAGAATGAGAAAGTATGTAAATTTTGTATGAATATATGATTATTGAAACCAGTTCCAAATATACGTATTTATCTTGTAAGTATTATAAAACACGCGATGACTATTACAATAGATACAAATAAAGTGTTGTAAATTGGCAGAAATATTTCGAAATTTAAAAGATCATCTATGGTTTATATGATTTTAAACACGCAGAAACAAAATTCGAAGTTTTCAAGATAGCAACTTGAAAATATATTCATGTAACCTTCGTTTATAATTGACATATTTGAAACATCCCTTCGCAATGAACGCGATTTAGGCGAAAATATATTATAAACTTAAATCGAAGTCATTCGACAATTTGTCGGTTCACCAATGCCTGTATTCATCAACTGGTCGTTACTACGTACAACAGCGAAACACAGGTCCCGGGAACGGAAGGATTCTCCGGATCAATCAATTCTTAATCGTGTTATTCGTCCTACGATCGAATTTTCCAACATGGAAAACCGCAAGCCTCTAGGCAAAAGACGATTATAAAAATTGGATCGTTGACACGAGCCTGTCAATCACCGACTCTTCCGTTTACGTATAAAACTGGATATTCTACAAGCAGCAACAACATTTCACGATTACGAAATTGAAATATAATATGTATCCATTGTTTCCATATAATTTGAATAACGAAAGAAATCTTTTTATATATAATGTATACATATATATATATATATTACGATAATTACAGGTCACATTGAAGAAATGTGATAGGCCTATTTTTGTCGTTTTTTTTTTTTCATTTTTATGCCGCTTAATAGCTAAAATCAAGTATTTCAATACGAAATGACTGAACGAAGGAACATATATAACTTGATAGATTTGAAGATATCTGAAATTTATAATAGAAAAAATCTTTAAATAGATACAACTGTTATTAGAAAAAATGCATATATATTGCTTTTCCATTGAGTTCCTCTAAATTAAAACGCGGCGCTCAAAAAAGTTGTCTATAATTGAAAGTACTAGATTCACGCAGCGTTGATCGAAGTTTGTCGATTTTTGTATATTTTTCCATTGTTTGAAAATTCAGTGGACTTTGGATTAGGATCGCGTTATTTACACACCCCCAGCTGCCAGATCACGGGGTTTCACGCACGCTTTGGATATCATTGAAATTTACGAGCTACGTAACGTCGCATCCATAGAACACAGCCACCGAATGGTAAATTTCCAAGCTTCGCAAATTAAATGCACCTGTAGACCCGGGCCGTCTCGCGTAGTATATAATCGACCGAAGCAGCAAATCTAGCGTTATAATAAACGCGATTTCGAGCGTTTAGAACGGAGACCGGCGCACGCTTAATACCATGGAATTAACTCCCTGTAAATCATTACGCCGCGTAAATTCTAAATAAAGTTCAGCGACGCGGAGGTCATG